CCTCTGAATACTGTTTAGTTCACGCGGAAAAAAGCGATACGAAAATTTGCTACCGTTTGACTTGGCGGACAGAGTAAAATAAATGGAAACTATTACTCGAAAGAAAGCGAAATTTGGATCACACGGCAAACCTACCTCGGGTGGATACGCTCGAATTAGATAGGCCGGGCCAGTTGTCTGTTCACGCATGACCTCATTATTGGCTACGCACTGAAAAATGACACCATCGTCGGAGGGCATGACCGCTGCTATGTGAAGGTAGCCTTTTTCATAGAAATGGACAAAGAAGTAATTCAGAAATCGTATCTCACATTTGACTCCCTTCAGATTCAACGTTGTAAAAGACATGCATAAGTACATTGGGTTCAAGTGCCTTCAGCACGACACAACCAACCCGCCTGGTTACAGAGTTTAACTGCTTATCGTTTCTGATGTACTGAAGCACTGGGGTAGGTTTTTTGGTAGCTAAAATATATGGTAGATGAGCTCACTCGTGAATTGCTAATCGAAATAAGGATGCTGGTTTTCGAACGGGATTTTGTCCGACTGCTTGCAAGAACTACGCAAATCACAAGTGGCTACTCCAGTGATATGGGGTTTTCGAATTGTTTTTCGATGCCTGTATAAATTCAAACCTATTTTATAGAAGAAAGCGGACAAACGCGTTCTTTTTTGTACGCATTTGGGAAAAATTATGTTTACCTAAAATTTTCTACTTGAGGAAATAGCCTCATCTGTTTTTTGCAGAAACATCTGTTTTTCAATTTCCAAATAACTGTGAAGTCGATCTGCGGTTACATTTGCATTCAGGGTTTCCAAACTACATGCTGTCTGTATTCCTCTTAGGAAAATCGCACAGTTCTGCATGCTAATAGAAAGGTGTCTTATAGTGTTCATGCTTTTTGCAAGGGATACGTACAAGATTGCATATTTTATCAGTGGTATTTATAACTGTATAGCTACGACACCTTATGAATGGAGGTCATATGGTCTTAATAAGCTCATAATTATAATGTTTTTTAAATAAATAAAAGACCTTTTCTTCAAAAAGAAAACTCAAAGAATACGTAATTTCCTACTAAGTGCATACAAAAATGCAGTTAATGAATTGTTTCTATGAAATATAGTTTTACTTATAAAAGCATCGAAAATCAACGGGACAACTTCACGCCACTGAAATAGTTACTTTGTCGGGTGTGGCTTCTGCGGATGACTAAGAAGACGCTCGTTCGGAAGCTGATATCTTGACGTGACTAAAGTATCATGGGAATGGGCTGCACGATAATAAATAGTACAACTCTAATTTAGTAACTTTTTCTCATGCAAAACACCTTTCATGAGAGAACACATGAATTACACAGATTTAAGTATACAAAGCTATGCCAATACTATTATCTGTTTTAGATGCACATATCTATATGATTATGACTGGGATTGTTACGCACGAGTTCAATAAAAAAGAAGGATATTTCAAGTGAGCTAACAGTTTTAATTGGCATGCAGGATAATCTGAGCGTATTTTTGTGCGCCAGGACGCTGGATTTATTTGAGTATGTTTGCATCCAAGTTCGCGAATGTTCTGAGGAATTCCCCTTATGAGTAATTTAGAAAAGGAACATACAGAAGAATAAGAATTATATAAAAATCTTAGCATATATGTAGCCACTCTTGTTTGCATTCTCAAGCTTAGAACAGAGCCTGGAAGTACTCCACTATGGCTGAAAATCCTTCAGTATAAAGAGAAAAGTGAGTTCTTTCATATTCAGCTTAATTGTATCCTTTATCTTCA